CAGGTTATATTAATAATGACATTTCCGATTGTTCAAATGGTCAGCTGTCGGGGGCCCCCTCAAAATGCGGGCTCCAGGCAATTGCCTGCCTTGCCTGCCCTATTGCTACGCCTCTGCCCAAGATTCCTGGCCGAACTCGATGGGATTATCGCTGATGAGCCCAGCTGGATGGTAAACTGGTGCTGGACTGATGGGGAGGCTAAAAAGATGAGAAACTCAGTCCTTGCTAGGTTGAACTGCAGGTGATGCTCTTTCATCCATGTTGAGATTTCTGTCAGGCAGTCTGAGATCTGAGCAGCTACCGTTGGATCGTCTGGTTGAAATGAGAGGTAGAGCTGCGTGTCATCAGCATAGCAGTGGTAGAAAAAAACATGTGCCTGTATGATGGGTCCCAGTGATGTAGTGTATATAGAGAAGAGGAGAGGACCAAGAACTGATCCCTGAGAAACCCCAGTGACCAGTTTTGATGTGCTCTGGATACCTCTCCTCCCCAAGCCACCTTGAAGGACCTACCTGTGAGGTAAGACTCAAACCAGAGAAGTGCAGTTCCGGTGATGCCCAGCGATGAGAAGGTGGACAGAAGGATTTGATGATTAACAGATAGATCTAGCAGAATGAGAACTGAAGATTTGGACTCCGCTCTCGCACTCCATAGCGCTTCAGTGACTGTTGCTGCTGTAGTTTTGTTTCTCTGAATTTACTCTGCATCACTTAAAGCACAGCTGTTTTGACATTGACTTGTCAGATAGTTTGTTATGTTCACTGCTACAGTTCACCGTCAATCGCGGATCAATTTGGTGGATTCACTTGCGTAATTTTTTACACTCGCGTTTGTCATTCCTGAAACAGTATACATGGACGGTTGGTCCTCTTACACTTTTCTTCAAACTGTGAATGTAGTAAGAGACACCGAGCAAAGGGCGCTTCCATTATGGCTCAACGGTCCAAGCTTACTCACATGATTATTATATAAACAATAACTAACTACACAGTGAATATCTTATTTACATCGTGTATGCTTTCTTTTTGTCTTATGATAATAGGAAGATCTGTGAGCGTGTAGAACTACGTAAACTTGCAAAAACAAAAATTAGATCAAAGCGGATTCTGACTTAAAGTAAAAGTCAAAAAACAATTTTAAAAACTCAGCGGATCTACACGAATCACAAATTCAAAACGGCGAATTTCACCAAAGGGTGACAAGTTTGCATCCCTGGTACCGAAACTTGCCAAGCGGTGACACTGGTGATGTGCGCGTCTTTCTTGGTAGCACCTATTCATTTGCAGCTTATATTAATACCTGCAAAAACACTACATAATATGCTGCTGCTAAGTGCAACCCTAGCTAACCTGTTTCCCAGTTAACTCTATTAGTAATTGGACTATTACTAGTAATTCATCTTGCAAATAATTAAACAAAAATAAGATTGGATTAACAACGATAACATTTGTTTGTCATATAATTATCCTTAAGTCAATCTTATCTCCATCATTCACCGCAGTCATGTTTCCTCCTTTCCTCCTCTTCTTGCTTTTTTTCTGCTTCTGGCTGCCAGACAGATAAGTCCTCTTCATGTTTAAATTAGCAAAGTGAAATAGGAATTATTCAATTTCCCGGTCAAACTCCACATATGAGACAACTGAATCAGAGGATTAAACTGGAAATTCCTATTACTGATTTTCTTTTAGAATCAATGCAGAGAGGACAGCTTCGGGCTGCGAAGAAGAAAGCAGAAATGGAGAAGAAGAGAAGCGGAGACACCAAGACAAGAAACGCAGGACATGATTCTGATGGCTAAGGAACTTCTTCGAATAATTCGACAACATGAACGTGTAAATAAACGATTGATGAAAAGGGTTAAACAATTTATTGAGGTTAATGAGTTTAATTTGAGAATCGAGTCTTTGCGAGGCCCCCAAGCCACCTTGAAGGACCTACCTGTGAGGTAAGACTCAAACCAGAGAAGTGCAGTTCCGGTGATGCCCAGCGATGAGAAGGTGGACAGAAGGATTTGATGATTAACAGATAGATCTAGCAGAATGAGAACTGAAGATTTGGACTCCGCTCTCGCACTCCATAGCGCTTCAGTGACTGACAGCAAGGCGGTTTCATGTGAATGGCCACTTTTCAATCCAGACTGGTTATTGTCCAGCTGGTTGTTCTGTGAGAGAAAGGAAGACACTTGGTTGAACACAATGCATTTAAGTGATTCTACTTCCTTTCCTCTCTCCACCACTTTCAACATAAACTCAGGGCAACGGAGAGAAAATGGTGCAAATCAAAAGATTCAGCTCATCTCAGTAGGTATCACTGCTATCCTCGTTTTCCACCAAGGTTCACACTGCCAAAGCTTCCTTTATCCATAACAAGATCAACAGCGCGTCAGACACATGCAAACTCTTCAAAGCATTCAACTCTCTCCTCTGTCCCCCTCCGCCACCTCCCACTACTGATTTTGATAATTACTTCACAAAGAAAACCACTTCCATCAGCAGTCAGTTCTCAGCTCCACACACTCTTGTTGGTGTAATGGTCAGGTGTCCCAATACTTCGGTCCATATAGTGTAGGTTTAATGCACACTAACTTACGCCATGCTTCTGGATGGCCACGTTGGTGAGGTGCACAAACATGTTGTCCAGCTCACTGGTGCTCGGGGTGTATTTGACTGTTCAAAACCGTTTAGTGCAGATCAAGAGATGCGGTGGGTGGCGAATGAAGTAATCCAAAGAGCGGTGAATTATCATTATTCACTCCCACCAGGATTTCACTACTGATTTTTTTCCACTACTTTTTTTTTTTCTTTTGATTGGCTGCTGTCAATTTAAGACCTAATGCACAGATCTAATATACCAATACATGTGCGATTTCTTTCCCAACTCTTTATGTCCACATAAGACATAAGCTACTGCATTTATGTTATAACTCGGCAAGACAGGCATTTAGACGTTATTCTCTTTGTGCACTTTAGGTGTGTGCTGGCTCATTAAGCTCCTAAACTCTTGTAATAACTCAATTTTTTTTCTCATTCATGTATCTAAAAACATAATTAAGACCATTTTGCAATTTCAACATTCAAACAGTCCACTCACTCCACCAAATGAATTGTTCTCCCTCAGATTTACACAATTCATGCACATTTCTCAGGTCTGAAAATACTAAAATTCATCTAAATACGTAAAAAGTACCTTACTGCGTGCGGTGATGGAAATACTCACATGTAGCACTTCAGCGGCCTGTAGCTGGTGACCAGCACATAGAGCCGCAGGTCGAACTTCTTCCCTCCGATCAGCAGTGGGTTATCGATGTACAGGGAGATGACATAGGCCTCCTTCCCGCTGTTGACCGTCACAAACCTGTTAAAGCACAGCATCTCAGACAGAAGACCACATCTGATCACAGCGGATCAAAGCTCAGGAGATCAGCTCACGTGGAGGTGCGGCTGTCGCGAGACCACTTCTTGATCTGAGAGAGCTTGTTGATGAGGAAGATGCCTTTGCCCTGCGCCTTCCCACACGGCTTCATGATCCACGTGCTGGACGGACTCTTGCGAAACTCCTCCACGAACAGGTTATAGTCAGCTGGCAGCATGAACATCACCGGCACAAACTCTGTCCCGGAGTCAGAAAGTCAGTGATGGCACATTCAGAGCTTTAGAGCTACTAGCTCTACCTAGGTAGAGGTACTTCCCGTTTTCGTCCTTCTCCTCTAAAGGACTGGCCTCCTTCGCCAGTTCCTTCCTGTAGCGCTTCATGTTCTTGATCATCAGGTCCTTCCTGGTCAGCTCGTAGTGGTTGGGGAAGTGATTGACCATCTGATCGTCAGACAGACGGTAGACGGTGTCCACGCTGAACACGTTACGGATGGTCTGGATGCTCATCCTGCCACATGACGGGACCACATGACTGTAAGCAATGAGACGTACTGTACGTGCTGCACTCTAGTAAGTTATTTTACTATCTTTGAGATACTATTACAGCTTTTACTAATATGTTGAATTAATTTTTATTTGTATATTTTTGTTTCTATTAAATTAATTAAGAATCTATTTTAAAATATAGCTGCAAGTAGCAATTAAGGGGCCAAGACCAGGGTTCTCCACCCCTGCTCCTGGAGAGCTACCTTCCTGCAGACTTCAGTTCCAGCCCTGCTTCAACACACCTGTCTGTAATTAAGCAGCCGTGAACACCTAGGCTGTGTCCGAAATCGCCCCCTATACCCTTAAATAGGGCACTATTTGAGGGAACAGCCATTTTTAGTGGTGTCCGAAACCATAGTGGACGTTCTCGAGTGCACTCTTTCAATCCCACAATACACTGCAAAAACGAGTGTACAACTGGTGCACGCTCAACGGCTAGAGAAATTATGCAAAAGCAGCATTCCTTCCGGTGCACTCAGTGTCCGAATTCACTACTCGTTTTCATTCACTCCTTCTAGTGAACTGAATTAGTGACCTAATGTAGGGAATAGTGAATGAGGGTATAGGGGGCGATTTCGGACACAGCCCTAGACTATGTCCGAAATCACCCCCTATACTCTCATTCACTATTCCCTACATTAGGTCACTAATTCAGTGAAAAATATGGAAAATTTTCATCGGAAAATATGTACAAACCCTAATTAAACTATTTAATAATCAATTTACAATGAATTTATACCTGTGTTGTATTATGCTGTACGCCATGGATGAGCACTTCGTAATATGAACGGATTGATTATTCTGCTGCGAGTGCCATCTTCTGGCGAGATGCGGGAATTCATTCGGTGCGTGACTCTCACAGTGCATTATGGGTATTCTCTAGCCGTTGAGCGTGCACCAGTTGTACACTCGTTTTTGCGGTGCATTGTGGGATTGAATGAGTGCACTCGAGAACGTCCACTATGGTTTCGGACACCAATAAAAATGGCTGTCCCCTCAAATAGTGCCCTATTTAAGGGTATAGGGGGCGATTTCGGACACAGCCCTAGATTAGCTGGTCTAGGTGTGTTTGATTAGGGTTGAAGCTGAACTCTGCAGTGTGGTAGCTCTCCAGGAGCAGGGGTGGAGACTCCTGTTAAAAACACACAGCATTTTACTACAAAACTCAAAATAGCTGACACCCAAAAAGGCAGACATAAAAAAAATAAGTATTGTTCTATTTGGTATGCCATTCCAAATTTAATGAGATCAATGGTTTTATTTTTGGCCAAACTGGTCAGAAGTTATAAGCAGAAATGTCTATTTTGTATATCTTTTGACCAGTAGGTGGTGCTGTGCTGAAACTGCTCACGTGCCCTCAGGTCATGCTTGTTATAACACATACCAAGTTTGGTCAGAAACTGCTAAAGCGTTGCGGAGATAGAGCCTTATGTCCATTTTTGCATCTAATTCGTTAACATGCTTTATGAAAACGGTTTGGTATTTCAAAAAGCTTTTCAGAACTTTTTACCAGAATGCTCTGAAGATGATCTGACCCAATTGGACAAACTGTCTAAGATGAGTTCGAAAAAGTAGATTTTTCCCAAAATTGCGAAACATCTTGACCCATAGAAGTTTAAATCTTGGTTTGGTTCAGGACTCTGCATGAGACAAGGAATCAGAGGGGGAAAGAATTTAGCTTTTTGACCTTATGGTTCAAAAGTTATTAGCAGAAACATGAGTGCAAATTTGGCCTGTTGGTGGCGCTAGAGAGTTTGTGATAGAGACTCCAGATTTGCTGTGGCTAACGATGAGACTGTCCTCTATCTGTGTGCCAAATTTCATAATTTTCCCGTAAGTGGTTCTATGGGCTGCCATAGACTGAAGAGCGGAAGGAAGAGGAGAAGAAGAAGAAAACTAACAGATACAATAGGTGCCATATTCCATGCTTGGTCCCCTGAATATAAATGCAAGCAGCAATTACGGGGCCAAAGCACAACAGAGGCACAATGAAGAGCAAACATGGCAGGGAGCATCATCAGACTAGGAGTGGGCGATATGGCAAAAATGTCATATCATTCTTTTTTTTCAGGAAAATCACAATTCTTTGTCATGTTTTATTAACATTAAAGGGATAGTTCACCCAAAAATGAAAATTCTGTCATCATGTACTCACTCTCAAGCTGTTTTAAACCTGAATGAGTTTCTTTCTGTTGTTGAACATAAATGTTATTTTGAAGGATGTGGGTAACCAAACAGTTGCTGGTCCCCAGTGACTTCATATTGTTTTTTTCGTACTATCAAAGTCAATGTGGACCAGCTACTGTTTGGTTGCCCACATTCTTCAAAATATCTTCTTTTGTATTCAGCACAAGAAAGAAATTAAAAGAGGTTTGGGACAACATGATAGTGAGTAAATAATGACAGAATGTTAATTTTGGGGTGAACTATCCCTTTAATGACAAGCGGCAGCATGTTTAGTACTATTAGTCTGCTGTCACTTTAAGAGCTGCACGCATCTAATATACAGGCACGCGTCTGTTTCACTCTCAACTGTTTACTTTCACTTTAGACATAACCAACTGTGTTTATATGTAAACCTTTTGTGTTTTTGACAGTATTAGCACAATCAGATGTGAAAGATAATTCAGTCCAGTAATCAGGAGCTGTTTGACAGGCTTTTCAGTGTGCGCGCTCAGAAAATGCGTATGTCAGAACAGATAAATTGTTGACTGTCAAAAAGCATTGAATTCTGTAGGGCTTCAGGAATAGGAAAAGCCTCAAAGCCATCAGACAGAAGCTGTAAGCATATTTGTACATTTTGATACATCTTGTGACCACTAGGTGGCGTCAGCTCTAAACATCACAGGGTGCTTAAAGGGGTCATATGATGCGATTTCAATTTTTCCTTTCTCTTTGAAGTGTTACAAGCTCTTGGTGCATAAAGAAGATCTGTAAAGTTGCAAAGACTAAAGTCTCAAATCCAAAGAGATATTCTTTATAAAAGTTAAGAGTCAGCCACACCTACCTAAAACGCCTCGTTCGAACACGCCCCCACATATCTACGTCACGATGTGGGAAGATTTGCATAACGCCGCCCAAATGTTCACGCAAAGAAAGAAGGCGTAACTTTTATTCTCGCTGTAGTATTGTTGCCGCCGCCGCCGCCATGTCGTGAAGACGCTGTGTGATTCGTTGTGAAAGCAAAACTACTTTGTTTGGTCTTCCAAAAGAGGACGATATCTGCTTCGTCATGCCTGGAGCTGATCCGTGCTGGTCGCTGAGGAAATACATCAACTTCGCTGTGGATCGCCGGATCGGCTTTCACCGTGGACGAAGCGGAGTCCAGCCCGGAGTCGTCACATGTGGTTGTCGCAAGCCCTCCGGCGTAACATTTCCGTCACACGCTTGAGGTATCCAGCCAATCACAACGCACTGGATAGCTGGCCAATCACAGCACACCTCGCTTTTCAGACCGATGAGCTTTGTAAAAATCGACGCGTTTCAGAAAGGCGGGGCATAGAGGAGAAACAATAACGTACAGAAATAATGTTCTTTTTAGCAGCATCATATGACCCCTTTAAGGGAATAGTGCTGAAGACACATATCACATGACACATTGTCAGCACGATCTGAAAATGATCTGAGCCAATTTGGGTGAAAATAGGAAGAACTGTCTGGGAAGATTCGAAAAAGTAGGTTTTCCAAAAGATTTAATGATTTCAAAGGGTGCAACCAACTCATAATGAGGAATCATAGGGAAAAAGACTTTTGCTTCTAAAATTTACGGTTTAAAAGTTATAAGCTTAAAACATGAGTGAAAATTTGAGCTGTTGGTGGCGCTAGAGTGTTTGAGTTAGAGACTCTAAACTTGCTATGGATAATGTTGTGACAGTCCTCTATCTGTGTGCCAAATTTCACAAACTTTCATGCAAGCAGTTCTACGGACTTAAGATCAGAAGAAGAACCTTCAGTGTTTGGCCTTTAAATGTTAGTAAAATCTACAATAGTGGCTCTATGATACTAAAATAACAGGTTTGTATTTATTTTTATTTCATTTTAGTACTTCAACTTGAAACAAATATGAGAAATGTTGCCTGGGAAACTTACTTTAATTAAATATTTTGAAGTTTTTTTAAATATATTTTTTATAAGTTTTAAGTTTATTTCATAAAAAAAAAAAAATGATTTCCAGTAATGAATATGTGTTTTATGGTGTCATAGTTTTAGTTAAAGGGATAGTTCACACAAAAATGAAAACTCCGCTGAACAAAAAATAAGATACTCTGAAGAATGTTGTTAATCAAACAGTTGATGGTAGCCATTGACTTTCATACTATTTTCCATACCAACATTCTTCTGAGTTTTTTATTTTGGGGTGAACTCTCAGTTTAACTTTAATAACTCAGCAGCTACACAACTCATACTACATACTACTGTTTTACTCTAGTTTGTTTCCACTAGCTTCCTGTCTGCCGTGCTGCTGGTTTGTGATTGTAGCTCCGTGTAGCTTCGCTTTTCTGTTGAATCTGTATCTTACTATCACTCTCTGCTGTTTAAAGTGATAAAATATAACTTAATTCCCACCATATTTCTGATATTATCTATCAAACTAATCTGATTAATTTGATCTTTTGTTTTTATTCTAAAACCGCGAGTGCAGCGCGCTAGCATTCGTTAGCCAGTTAGCTTGTCATTAGCATTTCCATTCGCGTCTATTGCTGTTTTTTTTCTCTCGCTCCGTTTCTTTTCTCTCTTGCTCCGTTTTTTCACGAGTTCATCAAACAACAGTGGTAAGTCAGAATCATTCATCAATCACGGTGAGTAATGGCTTCTTCTCCTGCTATTGTTGCTTGCACCGCTTGCCACATGTATAGTTTATCTCTCTCTGTCGGCGACGAGGGATTCACATGTGATAAATGCAGGGAAATAGTTAGGCTGACAGAGAAGATTTCAGAATTAGAGACACGCATCCAAACTTT